TAAAAGGAAAATGCGCGAAACCAGATTCATCCCCTAGTTAGCCACCCTTACAGGCGGAATATTTTTTTCAAATTTAAATGGGACTACTATACTATCAACAAAAATTAATTATCAAAATCGGTTTACAAATGCCGGAATAATCGAGTAACATACAAAAAAAATACAGTCGAATTAACTTGAGAACCTCCTCCTTTTTTCAAGTCGGTTAAAAAGATGAACAAAAACTATGATGTAATGATAATGATGTGTCAGACAACCACAACCAACTACCTGGTCTCAAACTAGGGACTTCCCCGTGCTATGAGTACCAGACAACGGAATGCACTTTAAATTCTATGAATTCCCACCCAGAACCCCAGACAAGAACATAGAAATGTTAATTTCCGAAATTAGTCTTAACAAGAATCGAACCCCGGAACTCCTCAACCAGCTACATTTACAATTCAAACCGTTGAGCTACCAAGACGTGACATATAGTCCAATGCATTTTTGGACAGTAATAAAATCGATAAAGGTAAGTAATATTTTGTATCTAGGTAATTTTCGTATATAAACTAGATTCCATAATTGGAAATTAAATAACTTTTTTCCGATCGTTGTCGTGTACAATTGTTTTTTAAACAAAATTTTCAGACCCTTTACAGGTCTCAATGTCACGGCTGGCCTAAAAAAAGCCTATCAAAGCGATACATTCCATAATTCAAATTACACAAGTTTAAACGTTAAAACAATTTTACAAATTGCAGTTTTAATAAATGAAAGTTCCTAAGTGGGTACAAAAATGCATCTGTCACGCGTTGTAATTTGGCTTATCTTGATTTTGTACAGAAGGGTTCTTGTTTAAGGGTAAAATCATAATAATAGGCGATATTGCGTATTTACGTGTTATGTATAATGAAATGTAATTAACAAGTAGTCTACGTAACAAGTAATCTATATAAGTTATTATCGGAAACCGTAGTTTGGAGACAATCTTACCATACCTTTACCTATGTCTGCACGCCCGCTGCGTATCGCGTACGGACGCACACTATAACGGATCCTATGTAAATTTTTACTTAAATATATTTTTTATAATATCAAGTGACGGGATTTACAAGTGTAGAGTAACGTGTAGGCATTAAGAGCCCAGTTAAACGACGCGAAAGACAAGACAAAGGTAAGAAAAAAGAGAGCCAAGACAAGAAAAAGACAACAAGATCTAAATTCGTCTGAATAATAAAACCTCCGCGCGGTCAGCGCCCGGCCGCCGCGCGATTACCGCGTAGACCAAAGACGAGCCAGTCTCGCCCGCGCGCCCTCGATGCTCATTTAAGTTAAAACGTACAAGCGAAATAAATAAAGCGTACTTTGCCATGACAGTTAGATGCACGCGGATGCTGTGCGGCGGAATCGCGGCGTGATTGCGATCCACTCGCGCATCAGTAAACATTCCCGAAGCCCTATAGTAGCGCGGCAATCCCAACAGCATTCTGAAAACGTCATTATACTGGACGCACAGGGCGCGATACGCTTTCTGTGAACACTTGACCCACAAGCTGCACGTGTAAAAAGATTGGCAAAATACTTTAAAAAGCGTGAGCTTTACGTTTCTAATACAACGTGCAAACTGCGGGCCAGCATATTGTACCTTACTGCCAACGCCCTGCGCTCCCTGTTAATGTTAATGTCGTTGATACTATAAGAAATATGTTTGCCTATTGAGAGAAAACTATCACAGTACTTAGTTTCGAAATTAAATTGAAATAATAATAAATTGAAATTAAAGTGAATAAGGCATATGGACGACAAAGAATTTTTACGAGAATTAATTATTGTATACAGCGTAGTACACTTGTGAATTGAAAACTAAGTAAACATATTTTTTCCATCAAAGTTGTAAATGAGATCCACTCGCGCTAAAAAGGTACTAACCCTGACTGGGTTAAAAGCAAAGTAAACAATTAATTATTACGAATACAACAACGTTACGTTGTATATAGTGGTGACACCAATCATATCACCAGATAATTTAGTAACTCTGTGATCTTGGTACTGTTGAACAGACATATAAAATTTTGCCTAAAATCAATTCATTTTTTTCCCACTTTAAAACAAGCCATATCAAAAAAAGCAATCATGATTCATATCAAAAACGTCCCCTAACAAAAAGCGTGTAACTAAACATAAAGCGTTTTGTCGCTCTCTTTATGGAACCGTTCAAAACACAGTTATTATACTTTTAGATTAACCGTGTCGTTGGGAGGCACGTGGTGTCGATTAAAAGGATAGATTTTTTAAACAGATATCGTTGATTGATATGTTTGTTCGTAATTACTGGCCCCAGGTGTGTAATTTGAAGCTGTTGGTGACAATTTCAACAAATAGTATTCTGAACTAAGAATCCGGAATCAGCTTGGTCAGAATTAGCTTTATGTAAAGGAACTGTTGATATGAAATTATAATGTGTATGTATGTTTAATATAATAATATAACGCCGTAATTACCCGCACTCGAAGCGAGTAAATTTTGTCGCGCTTGGCTTCTGGCCGTAAACCACCGCCTTCTCGCCTCCCGCGCTTCGTACCGCAAGATGGCGGAGACCCCCGTTCGCGTTCCACGCGCCGTACGAGCTTTTTTATTATTAGAAAAATTAAAGTAAAATTGTGTAATAATTACAATGTTCAGCGATTAAAAGTGTTTTCAACGTTATTGGTATTTGACAATAATTATTTATTAATAATATTTAAACATTGATAGTTTATTATTTTGTTGTATTAATTGATTGATTATTCCTTGTACATATCCGAGGACTGTGTTATAATTTAATTAAATTTAAGCAAAATTTTGCATGCCTAGTCAGGTAAAAACATGTGTTCTGTAATAGTGTTTCATATTTCACATCACGTTTTAAGCAAATAAAATTTCATTTCATTTCCTTTCACTGTTATGAATAGGCGTTGTCGCTTAACACCAGGCGCACGACTTATTCGTCCCGTCACTTGCTGTTATAAAAACAAAAAAACCAGGGGCAACTACAAGTTAAATTTTCATTATTAAAACAAAGTTATAAAGATTTCTTAATATAAAAAAAGGTATATCGAGTTCTTAGGTTTTCGCGATTATTCCACATAGGAAATGAAACTATTTTTCCGGATTTAAATCGCGTATATTTGTTTTTTCGAACAAACCGACATTGTATGGGTTACCAAAAATAAATAAGGCTGACACCCCACTCCGTCCCATAGTTAGCCAGATTGACACACCAACCTACAAACTGGCTCAACACGTGGCAAAGGTGCTGTCACCATTGAGAGGGAACACTTCTACACTTGTGAAGTATTCATACCATTTCATCAGTGGAATTAATGATCTACGGTTAACTGATGATGACACCATAGTCAGTTTTGATGTTCAGTCGCTGTTTACCAACCTACCAGTAAAAGACTGCATTGAAATTGTACGTACATAGAAAGCTAAGGGAACATAATATGTCCATTGAATATGCAAAATTATTAGAACACTGCCTCACATCAGGCTATCTATTGTGGAATAATGAATTCTACCTACAAATCGACGGTGTAGCGACGGGCTCCCCGGTATCTCACGTTGTTGCCGATATTTTCATGGAAGACATTGAGGAGCGAGTTTTACCCATGACTCTAGCTAGGCCGAAGATTTTCAAACGGTAGGTTGATGATACTTTCACAATATTACCTAAAGATAGCATACCTTCTTTCTTGGACCATCTTAATTCGTTTAGTACTAAGATCCAATTTACTATGGAGCAAGAGAATTGTGGTACTTTAGCTTTCTTAGAAGTTTTAATTAAAAGAAATCCTAATAATACCTTAGGCCATACTGTATTTCGAAAGAAAACCCATACAGATAGGTACCTCCATGGTAATTCCCATCACCATCCTAGCCAGCTAGCAAATCTTTGTTTCAGAGAGCACATGGTGTCTGCGACAGTAATCATCTGGCAGGGGAACTTCAGTACATAAAGCAAGTCCTACATGCGAATAAGTTGAAGATTCCACGCCAATGCCGCAGGCCCCGTGTGAAACCACCAACAGTTGAACGAAGACCTGCCATTTTACCTTACGTGGGAGGTGTTACAGACAAGATCGGAAGAGTCTTCAGGCGTGCATCTATTAAGACCTATTTCAAGCCCCTGAGGAAGATTTCTCAGTTCCTGAGACCCGTGAAATGTAACATCCCCTTACAGGATGCAGGAGTTAACAAGCTTGACTGTGAGTGCGGTCTCTCTTATATTGGACAAACGAAGCGAAGTATTTGTACCCGCGTCAAAGAACATATAGCTGATGTCAAACACTGTCGCGTAAACAAATCTGCAGTCTGCGAGCATATCATGGACAAACCTACACATTCAATGAAGTTTGACAAACCCCAGGTCCTTGCAAAAGAAGTCCGTTATCTACCCAGGATGCTGCGAGAGGCCATTGAAATTAAAAAACATCCTAATTTCAACAGGGAAGATGGTTTCTCCGTACCACCAGTTTGGGATCCAGTATTTCCTCTGAGGAAAAATCCCAAACAGACATAAGACTGCAGTACTAATTAATATGTTTTAGTTTATTCTGATTTCTATTATTAATTAATAATAATTTAAACTTAATAAAAATTCATTCAATAAAATAATTTGTAAAACTTAATGTAGCGTAAATTGGAATGTTTTCTTTGTAAAATTAAAAATAAGGTATTTTATTAAAAACTATTGTAACTATAGTGAAAAAATAGGGTGGTTTGCATCAATATTAGACATAACTGGTTGAAGACTGTACCACCTCAGTCAACCGTGACCATGGGACCTGTAAAGGGCCCGAAACGTCGGTTTGTTTCAAAAAACAAATATACGCGATTTGAATCTGGAAAAATAGTTTCATTTCCTAGTATGAATTTTTAAATTTTTTTACTCGAGTATTACTTATTTGACGGTAATTGTTTAGTGAGAACGGAAGTAGACCCCTAGGAGTGATAGGATACAGACGGTGACATACCTCGCATACCGCGCATGATGGGACTCGAGTTCCGCTTTGGTGGGGGGCGGAGGCACCAGCGCGGGGCCGAGCCCGAGGCCGAGCCCGCCGCCCAGTGTCGGAGAGAACCGGTATAATTCACTGTTAACAGAGGACAATAATTAGAAATATGAATATAAATAATTCAGAAGGAGGTATTATACACTCGTATGCATGCGTGTCAGTATAATATTTTTTCAGCGTTGATTAAGTATTTAATTAGTTTGGCATGTATTTAAAAAATCATTATAAATTTGCTAAAGCAGCAGGCTCAAAAAATCTAAACGGTCATCTTTTTTAATGTTTGATTCCGAACAATTAACATGTATATCAAACAAAAAAATTTTGTTTATTTCATAAAGTACAATTTACAATAGATCAATTATATCTTTGAGGATCAAATAATATTATCTCATTAAGTTTATTAAATGGAAAAATGTTTAATCGCCATGATATTCAATTTATTTTTTGTGAAATTACCCGGCAAAAAAGTCGTTAAAAAACAAAACATAGATCTGCAACATGTACATAAAGAAATTCGTAAGGTGCGCTGGCTCGTTCTGTGGCTTAGTTGGCGTAGCGTCTGGCACGGTTTACTAGAAAACGTTGGTTCAAATCCAACCAGATCGAAGGAATTTTTCTAAGTGTTCGATCTTTGTAATTATAACAAATAAGCTTTTATTTATATATACAGACAAATACGAATTGGAAACTTCGCACACATCATGAAATTGCTATGCAGATTTCCTCACGTTGTGAGTTTTTTATGTTTCGCCAACAAGCTCGTGGTAGAATTTAAATTAAATTTCGGTAACTTTTAGTTTATTTATTCTTTTAATTTAATTTAACGTAATATTAGTGTTACTGTACCTAATAAATTTACTTAGGATTGGATATAATGCATTTGGTGTCACTGAATGCACACTTGTAATGGGCTGAGGTATCAGAATTATATTCATGATTAGTTGTACTAATCATAATTATACGAATAATCTAATCAATCATGTGTATACTGTTAGAGTTCCTACTATGAATAGATATGTAAATAAATTCTTGTGATCATACAATTGTGTATAATTTTAAAAAGAAAACCGACATCAAAAGTTCGTGGAATTACATCTATTTGTCAAGTTTTATTGAATCCCTTAGTTTGCCACCCTTAGCGGTGGAATATTTTCTTCAAATTTAAATCCACCAATACTAAGGTATTCTCTATTGAACAGAAAAGAATCCTCAAAATCGGTTCACATAGTCCGGAGTAATCACGTAACATACACATAAAAAACATACGGTCCAATTAAGAACCACTTCCTTCTTTGAAGTCGGTTAAAAAATAAATTTATATAAGATGTAGAATGATATCAACGTACCTCGATTCAACATACCTCGATAGACTAGAAGTGGTGATGGGCAGCGAGGTGGGGTACGGACTCCGGAAGCCGCTGGCCGCCGATGATATCGGATACATGCTCGGAGTATGCCTGAAATACACATTTACTGTTAGTTCTATCTTATTGGTAGAAGAAGAAGAACGAACGAAGTCTGTAAAGTTGACATCTATACGGTTAACACAACAGAGCGCAACTTAGCGTTTCCATTACGTCGTAACGTGTTATTTATCGACTGTCGCGTCTAGCCTGTTCCCATATCAGGACTAGCTATCGTCACTGTGTCGTGGACGTTTATTTTACCGTTGAACGACTGTCGTGTCTAGCTATTCCTACTAGGTCGTGACAACAAATTTATCGGTTCGCGGCAGCCGCATTTTCGTTTGCACGACAGAAATGTTTGAAGCCGCGTTTATATGTAGTCACATTTTATCACGACGTATTCTTTATCGTTGGACGACTGTCGTTTTAGCACTTCCCATTGTCACGACAGTCTGTCGTCATAACGACAAAAAGTCATGAACGACAGTTAATCGTGTTTTACTACGTGAACAAACACATTTAAATATACATGCTACGACACTTTAAACTGCACGACTATCTGTCATCATGACATAAAGGGAACGCGCCCCAACGCGAGAGCGACACAAAGCGCGATATACTGATGTTCTTGCATTGAGAATAGCAATCTAAGTTGCTCTGTCGTGGTAGCCCTCCAAGACTTATTAAAAGTAACAAAATGTGTATTATAACTTTATAAACACGCATAGAAAAAGCTCCACCATTTCTATACACAATTGGGAATACAAATTTTGTTTGTACACAACGAGAATGTTCAAAGGTCCTAGGGGGAGCTCTCAAAGGCTGGCAACGCAATAGGCAGCTCATCTGATGTTGCAAATGTCCATGGGCGACGATGACCACCTCCTATCAAGTGGCTCGTTTGCTCGTTTGCCTCCTTCATTACATAAAAAAGGGCAAAAGTTAATCGTTATGAAGAAGAGAACAAATTTTGAGTAATGGTGTCGACATCACGGACATTGTGTATAATTTTCAATATTTTTTCAATGACTCAAATGACGGGACCAACAAGTCGTGCCGCCTGGTGGTAAGCGACACGTCCAAAGCGATGCTAATGCCACACAGAGATTTAAATCGCCAAAGATATAATTATAACAAGGGGTATATTTACCACGACGCTGCTACTTGCGACATCTCCGGACTGAGCATGGGGTAAGGGTAAGTACCCCCCGGAAAAGGGTACATGGGCGTCCGCGCCAAACCAGCTGCTGAAAAACATATTCATTAATTAAGAATGTTGTGAACTAACTTATCAGTAAAAACCACGTTTTATTTTCGAATGAATGAATGAAATTTGCAATTCAAACAGTTATTTTTAAATAACTCGAAACCGGAACATATTGCGTAGACATTTCCTATCATTAATATTACGACTTTCGAAAGTTCAATTATTTGTTTTTCGTCTTTAATACAACATGATAATATCAGCTGTTGTATCGATTCCTTTATTATGAAAAAGAAAAGTTATGTGTACATTTCGAAATGTGGTATAAAGTTTTGTTATGATAGGTATGTCATATTGAGAATTCCAGTTAACTGAAAATAATCTTGAATAGACATAAAAATCCAACTCATTTTTAATATCCATTAGATATCCGGGCAGTTTTTAATACTATGTGTGCCAGACAACCGCACCAACTGCCTCGTCTCAAGTTACGGAATCTCTCCCTAGAAAAGTTCATTTTCCAAATCGGTCCAACCGGGATTCGAACCCCCCGCATCCAGCATCCACGATGCAAACCGTTAGTCCATCGAAGTAGGCAAATTCAAGCCAGTAGTGTACAGTGCTTGAAGTCTGCCTACTTATAAATATTGTAATTATTTTTATTTGCTGAAATTTTACTTATTATGAATATTTTGTGATCTCAAAATTTAAAAGTGGTTGGAAACTACTACTTACCGAGTTTGGAATCGAGCTGGTAAGGCGGTGGAATGCCCATATGCGCCGGCGGCGGCTGGCCGAGCTCCCCACCGGGGCAGAATAGGGAGAGACCCCCGCCCGCCGGGAGACCCATCTTGCCCGTCTGTAACAAGGAAAAATATAATGTTAGTTGTAATGTTCATTCTTAAATTTACACCGTTTATTCTCAATAGGTGTTAACGACCAGTTAATAAATATCAAATATAAATGAAAACATCTGAGTCGTAGATGTTACTTCGAAAAAATCGTTATTCCATGAAATAGACAAGAAGCCTTGAAATTTATAATTGCTAATAAACTAGCCAAAATAAGTGAGTATGACAAAGGCAAAGAACAGCTCATTTCGCAACGTCAGTAAAAATTAATTCAAAACGCCATTCAAGTATCATTTGGCACTTTAAAACGTCCACTTTAGAAAAAATTAACTATTTCCCCGCTCAAAAACAAGAGCATAACAAAACGCGGGCTAGTCGAGGAAGACGCGTCATTAGCAAGTAAATTGGCGCTAGCACCGTATAAATTTCGTTCTACCCTCGTCGTCGCCCAATTATGCAAAATGGCGCCCAACGCGGGGCCATTCAGCCTCGCTTCCCGAGTGTCTCACCTCTAATTAAACCAGACTTCTTTTCAGAACTTTATTATGCGAAATAAACGACACCGGGTGACACGTAGATGGTTTTTTCGCATTATTAAAATAATGTACTTAGCGGTCGAGTGTCTGTGATAAAAACAAATTGTGAAAGGATATAAAAGATTGACAAAATGCAAATTTACAAAGGAATAAAAGTTATCGTAATTAGCAGTTTAAACTTTATACAAGCACTTCTCAGTTTCAAAGTCCATTATAAATTTTAGTTGCTTGATTCTAAAAACTAATATGTACCTACATCACGTTCTCAAGTAAGTAGTCGACAACATTAACTAGAACAATAATTACGCACCATAAACTCACTTCACAAGAGCAAGAGCGTTTAAAGTCTTCTAACTACTTTCCGTCACAAACAAAAGTGAGAAGCCCTAACCGAAACCTGTTTAAAACTCCGCATCATTTCAACTCATTTAAAAACTAAAAGGGCTGACAATTCCTCCGCACTACGTCCGTATTTCAAAAGCAGGAACTGCTTATTAAGACAATAATTACCACGAACAAAAGAAGCCCCACTAATTAATAATAAAACACGCACAAACAAAGCCCGCCATTCACGTTCGGGCTGCTAAAAAAAGAAAAAGAGAATAAACCGAAACGGTGGTCGAAAAACCACGACATGCGAGGCCGAACAAAAAGAACGCATAGACAATGATGACAGTCGAGACGTATAATGCGGGAGCAAGTTCTTAATTTGAAAATATTTCCATAATAAGATTTGTCTATGGCGCGACCGGTAGAAAACAAAAGGCAAGCGCTCTTTGTTCAACTGACAGCTCGTAATAATTTAAAAATAAAATCACGCAATTAGATTGCGGTGGAGCTTGCTAGTTATTACCTGAAGTTTTCTCGTTAAATGTTTGATTTGTAATTTTTTAAATTAGTACCGCTTCTTTGCCTAATACTTGTGAGTAATAAAGACCAGGTGAAGTGGGCAGCTTTTGACTGTAAGAGGGTAGTTATTGAAAGCGTGGCGTGACGTCACAGGCACTTGAGCTGGCGTCAGTCACTAATTGGATCTCGCGGCGGTGGGACGCGAGAAATGTTGCCTCCATCGACTAATACTTCAGAATTGAATGGGTTTGTTAACGAGCGGCCGTTCCTATTTAGATACTAGCTAGTCAAGGGGCTTGGTCCTCGTTAAGATTATTACATCTATAAAACTTATACTCTGACCTTCTGCATTTTACAGCACCTTATTTTAAAAAGTGCACTTGGAAAAAATGAAAATGCAAACGACGTCAACACCCTATTCAGAGAAGGTTTTGCGAATTTTCCGAAGCCCCTATCGGGTTTAATTTTTAACCCCGTTGCAGAGAAGGGAATCGCCATAGCTTGCACGCACACTAGGGTAGAATACCTACACCACCCCTTTATTTCACCAATGCGGACGCGTCTGCGAATATCTTGAGAGTTGGGACGTAGTGGGCGGGGAAGCTGCGTCGTCATGGCAACCACGTGTGGGGGCGTCGGGGTGGTGAGCCAGGTAGGAGGGCGGAGTGCGTTTAGCGACCTTGGGAGTTTAGTCTAGTTTCAGTCGCTGCAAACAGAACTGACTTTTGAATAGATTTTCTTATGTTTTCAAAATACTTTTTCCAATGTTATTAATATTTCATAACCACCCTTGTTCTTGTAGAGTTACAAGTTTAGTTTACATCAAAAACATATTAGTTGAAATAAATAATAAAAAAAATTATAGAAATATAGTACTACATTATGATAGATCAAAGATGAGACAACATTAAATTGTTTACAACATACATAGCCTAATTACTGTCTTTAATCAATTATTACAAAAGTGCACGTACTTAAGCATACTTACGGGAACATGATCCCTTCTTAATAATCTTGATACTTCTTTCCTATTCAAAAACCTCTAATTTTGCAGTTCAACTACCAAATCTCAGACTACCCTAAACGACGTCAGTGATCCGCGTCATTTTTTATCCATTTCCGTCCTGATCCTTCGAGCCGGATGCTCGCCGGAACTGTATAACGAGGGTACACGCTAGCAACTCTGAACTACACAGACTATAATATACGTGCTTTGCCAGTGTATGGTATTGTTAGTGAAAATGTATTTGATTCATTTCTATACTTATGCACAAAGTTACTTTCACTGCCTAAATAATTACAAATTCCACCCACTGGCAACACTCTGTACAATATCTATGGATATTACATAGATATCTTTGCTTTACTACTTTGCCACCCATCCGTATTTCATTAGCTTAGAGGACATTTCAACTAATAATAATCCGTACTGTAATGAATCATGATACAGTCATTGACGCTTACTGCTCGCAGTTTAAATTCCATTGCCTTACGTGTGTTTAAACAAACATACAATACGACTGTTTCTCAGTATGTAATTAGTTACTATGAAAACTACTAAATCATTTATATATAGAAGCAACTTCTTTAGTTTCCTACATTTGTTTCAATACGTACTTCCAGAACACAGATTCAGAGGATATAAGATCAGTTATTTAGATGTTATCAAGAGAAGTACTGGCGTTTTTCTTTTTATGGTGATAGAGTGTGGACGCGTCCAGTAGAAAGGAATAGAACAGGAAAACAGAAGGCAGACTCCACTAATGAATCCAAGTGAGAGAGAGTACAACAACGCAGATTTTCTAGAATGTACTTGTAAACAGCTTTCAAGGCAATCTGTGCTAAGTATTATAATCCGAATAAGCAATATATATAAATAAATAAATAAATATAAATAACGCACAAACTCAACATAGACCTGCACTAGGGAAACCCTGTGTCGCGGGTGCCATGGACACACACTTAGACAACCACAAATTACACCCAAACTCACGAGAGAAATAATTGTAGGCCATACAACTATTTCTCCCGGCCCGGGAATCAAACCTGGGACCTCTGCGTGACAGTCCGGCATGGTAACCGTTCGGCCACGGAGGCAGTTCAATTTCTACTTATTCCTCTCACGCCAGCTTAAGCATCTTATAAGAAAACGAACAAAAAATTCGTCGAAATAAATATCTTAAAACTCTTCGAAGAGAAAATCTAATACGAGGGTTTCAGGCTATATTCAAATCCGCAAATATTGGGGAGGCTGTGGGGCGGAGGTCGTTGACCTCTATGCAGATGGGGTGAGGTGGTTCTATACAAGCGACTTCGAAAGTTATTAGAGAGGAAATCGTTACGGCATCTTGTCTTTTCTCAGTGTATTTCGAATCAGCGAAATTGGTTTTTCAATGTGACAAAATTTGTATGGGTTACGAGAATCACAATTCTTTTCTAATTAGGTAAGTATTTAGTAGAAGAAATAGTGATACATTATATCGATATTGATATACAAACTCCATAAAATACGGTAGAAAATCTAATATGCCGATGCCATTATGTGTTCTTATAGGTCTCGTACTTCCCCGTGCTCCTAATTTTGTATACATGTGTATAATCACTATTTCTTATTAGGTAACTTTATTAGAAGAAAAAGTGATACATTATGTCAATAAAAATGTGGACTGATAGACATTTACGAAAGCCATAAATAAGGTAGAACATTTTTAATGTACCGATGCCATTTTGTGTTCTTATAGGTATTCGTAATTTCCCGTGCTCAAAAAAATCCATTTTGCAACACAAAAGTATTTTACCTTCGATACATTTCATCGGTGTTTAGTACATAACTCATCCAGTTACGCTTTCCACCATCTTTGTACTCGGTGAAGGACATCAAGGGCACACCAATTATGTTTTTGACGTGCTCAACTGTTCGGGTAGAGCGAAATTGGCATGGGCTGAAGCGCCCTTTTCGAGGGGTTTCAGTATTGAACATCGTATTTTACCTAAGGAATAAATAATTCCTTAGGTAAAATACGCTTCAACATGTTTTAGTACCAGGTTGTTTTCGACGTAGTAATAGACGTAATTTGCATAAAATTTTGCTTGTAAAACATGAGTTTTTATACTATTTTGAGATACTAAATACGATTTCTCCAATTCTTCAAAATGTTACGGTACACTAAATTCACATATAGCTTTAATTCATAGGTAAACAATTTACACTTGAGTTCAAAGATATTTTATTCTCATTAAGACAATTGTCACTTACATGAGAACTTAAAAACTAATCAGTAAATTAACAATATTCCAGTCCAAGCCGCGGTACAAACTACACAATGATATACCACCATTAGACACAAACATGAGTTGAGAGTTCAACTGTTAACAAATTTACATCATTATTATACAAATTAAATCTTTCTTTCAGTAATGAATGGTCGTTAATAATATGTTCATACAATTTCGATTTAAATGAACTAAATGACTCCGCATCCTTTACATTTGCCGGGAGTTTGTTAAAGATTTGCACTCCTTCAAAACCTATTGTCCTCTTGCTGTAGTTAGTTCTGATCATGGGCAGGATTAGATTATTATGATTACACTTTAGATCATTACATTGACTAAAACATAACATT